TGGTGGGCTCAGGGTCTTCCATCTTACATCTGCCTGCGTGCAGTGTGGAGGTGCAAGATACTTGAGCATGTAATGTTAATTTTACCTGTGATCCTTTGAATAAATCAGCACTGTTTTGAAGTTACTTGGACTGCCTCGTTCTCTCTGAGTTAGCATGGTAAGACAAACCATATCCTACACTCATGTCTGACAAAGAAAAGCATCAGCTCCTCACATTAAAGAAGGTGGAACCAGACTGTTGCTTCTAAATAGCTGAGGTTCATTTTCTACCAGTGAACTGACTCATGGCTGCAGCTCTAGGTCACTGAATGGCTTCGTGAGGACGACACAGCGGGTCGGACACAGTGAGGGGATCTGGTTTGGAAGGAGGAGGTTGCCTCCTCCTCTGACAGAGGAGACCTGCAGCTGCTCTGGAGGTACTGCCGCAGCACCATGGGCTCTGTGCTCTCCTCATCTATTACATTAATTCACAAGGAGCTCCACGGTCCTAAATCAATACATCAATATTCTGTGTTCATGAAGGATATGTTTCTGTGCAGTGCCACCAGGTGCAACACTAGCCCTGTCTGTGTCCAACCAACAGACCCACAGAGACTCAGCTGATTCTCATGTCTGACAAAGAAAAGCATCAGCTCCTCACATTAAAGAAGGTGGAACCAGAACATGTCGGTGACTGTTGCTTCTAAATAGCTGAGGTTCATTTTCTACCAGTGAACTGACTCATGGCTGCAGCTCTAGGTCACTGAATGGCTTCGTGAGGACGACACAGCGAGTCGGACACAGTGAGGGGATCTGGTTTGGAAGGAGGAGGTTGCCTCCTCCTCTGACAGAGGAGACCTGAAGCTGCTCTGGAGGCACTGTGTTGCTGGGTGCACTACTTTCATCTGCATATGATGATCAACGGTGGCGCAGTGGTTAGCGCCGTTGCCTCACAGCGAGAAGGTTCTGGGTTCGGGCCCCACCTTTCTGTGTGGAGCTTGCATGTTCTCCCCGTGCTTGCATGGGTTCTCCCATAGGAGTGCGTGTGTGTGATTGTTCGTCTTTGTGTTAGCCCTGCAATGGATTGGCGACCTGTCCAGGGTGTACTTTGCCCGATTGCCAGCCGGGATTGGCTCCGCCCCCACCCCACCGCCCACCCC